TGATGTTCTGAAATATTCCTTCTGCAGCACTTTATTTTCATAGTGGTGTCCATTGTCATTTCATGTCATCCTGATCAGAATGAGCCAAACATGGGATGGAAGAGAACTAAAGAAACTGAAGAAGTAAGTTAACGTTTGATTTTAGAGCGAATTGAGCCTTTCAGGCCAAACATTTATAAAGGAATTCTGTTTTTCAGTGGAAAATTGGACTCTCTTCCATTTGGGGTTGAGCTGCCATTTTCCAGAGTAAGCTGGAGATCTCCCCCTGGGGAAGTTCCCCACCTCCTTGGCCTGTGCCATTCGCTGTTTCATACTTGCACAGTGGGAGGAGGGAATCAGTTTGGGTCAGCACCAATAAAGCTGCCATCCCCAGAATTCGTGTAGCATCGTGGGCTGATTTGGAGCAAATGGAACCTCTCCTTAAAGTCCTTTTTGAAGTGGTTGAACCTGACTTGTTTCCCCTTCCATCCTCCTTTTGCTGGAAGCAACCAACCACCCAGGTGCTGTCATCCCCTAAGATGATCTGCACCTGCTGATTTGCGAGGTGCCTTCTCATCCTGAGATGATTGAACTCCCATTATCCTCGCTAGAGTTTTTCCTGCTGCATTTGTTTTGCAGGAGGTCATCTAATGTCTCATAACATCTTTTTTTGTTGGTGAGTTTAATTTCGATTTCCATTTGAGGTCAGCATTGAGTTCCTGATTGATCCTGATTATTCTTTATAAGGCTCAGAGCTGGGCAGAAAATCAGGAGACCCGGAGTTTGCTGCTATTTCAGCTCAGCCTTTTCATGCTGTGCAGAGATAGCAATGCTTCAGAGCTTCCTCAGCAAAATGAGGAGCAACAAAGAAAGCAGAACTGGACACGTTGGGTAACTGACACCAGCCCAGACTCATGTCTGTGAGCAGTGTGAGCAAAGGGCTTTTCTTAGGGTTCAGCTGAACTTTAAGGTTGATCTCTGCGCTCTTTCAGACTCTTGTAGGAGTGGTGATACTAGAACCAATAGGTCGCCAGTGATAGGATGAGAAGTGATGGCCATAAGTTGCTCCAGGAGGGGGTCAGGTTGGATATTAGGGAAAATTTCTTCTCCAGAGAGTGGTGATGCAGTGGCACAGCTGCCCAGGGAGTGGGGTCACCATCCCTGAGGGTGTTCAGAGCCATGGGGATGTGGCACTGAGGGATGAGGGCAGTGGGAATTTTGGGGGTGGGTTGGGGTTGGGGATCTGATCTGGGAGGGCTTTTCCTACCTTTGTGATTGTATGATTCTCACAACAGGGAAGATAAATGTTTTCAGTGCTCGTTGCAGACTGCAGCCAGAATTTGCAACTTTTTGGCACCCTGTGAGTATTAGGGATGTTGAATAGTCCTGAGGGAGGTCCCAGGGCCTTTCTCCAAGCTAGGGTAGTTTTACTGCTTCAGGAACAGCAATACAATATTTCAGACAACTGGCACCTCTACTAGTGCAAGAATTCAAAAGCCCAGCTCTGAGCTGCTGCTTTTCCTCTCAATTCTTTGTTGTCTGGAGCATATCAGTGTTCAAAGGATAATCCCTGAGAGCACAAGGTTTCACAGTGTGACTGCTGGAGGAGCATGCAACAATGCCAGGCACCACTGGGACAACACGAGCTTGTGGTGACGTGGGACCACGTCAGACACTGGATGTGATGGGGAGATCACATCAGTTTGATGGGGAGACCTGGAGAGCAGTGGGCACAGCCCCGATCTGCCAGAGCTCAGGGAGCACTGGGACACCGCTGTCAGCCATAGGGTTGGGGTCTGGGGCTGCTGTGTGGGGCTGGGGTGGGCTCTGTGATCCCTGTGGGTCCTTCTGATTCAGGGTGTTCTGTGGTTCTGTGATTCTGTTCAGTGAACCACATTGAGATGTACTTCTGGGCACTTGCACAACCAGCACAGAATAGCCTGTGTCTGTTCTAGTGGTGCTGTTTTGCAGTTGCCCAAGGAGGCTGTGGATGCCCCATCCCTGCAGGCATTCAAGGCCAGGCTGGATGTGGCTCTGGGCAGCCTGGTCTGCTGGTTGGTGACCTGCACAGAGCAGGGGGTTGGAACTGGATGAGCACTGTGCTCCTTTTCAACCCAGGCCGTTCTATCATTCTATGGTTCTGAACATAGGCACTGAGATCAGTGTGCTGCACTACAGCTGTAGTAGATGGGCCTTTGCTCTAGATAGCAGAAATGCAGGACTGGGCACACTCAGTGCATGAGGGTGGTCCCAGCAGAGAGCAGCTGGTGCACACCAGGCATGGTGGGGCTCCATGACAGCATGGTCCGTGCTCTCGCTTGTGCTTGCAGGGGCTGGCCACAGTGTAGTGCAGCAGTACTAAGATTGACTGTAGCTCTGCAGACATCACAGCTCAGCTCTACGCTTGATCTCTTGCTTTAGCACTTTGGCAGCCCATTTTCCCATGTGTCTGTCTTGTCTGTAGAGATCTTGGGCTTTCCAGGAGCATCCGTCTCTTTCTGTGTGTTTGCACAATGCTGTGCATAATGAGGATGCCAGACGCTATGGTAACAAACACGGTCATGCTGCTTCCAAGCTTTCTGTGAGCAGCAGAATGAATAAATCCTGGCTTGTCTTCCATCCTTAAAGTCCAGCCCCCTATGTGCATGGAACTGCTGCCTCCATCCTTTGTCTCTTAGCTATTTGTTTGATGCCATAAGCGATAGCTCAGGTTTACTGGCTGGCTTGTTGGTACGTGTGGGTTGGTTGACCACCTGTCTGTGGACTGAAAATGAGTAGGAAAATGAATTTTACCTGGCGTTCCCTCAGCTGAAGAATTTGGATGTTCCTTCTGTTCATTGTAATGCAGTGTATTGTTATTTTCACCTCTGGGCTTTCTGCTGCAAATACAATTGAACGGGTCCAGGAGTTGCTAGGAAGGGGTCTGAGTGACAGACAGACTTGAACTTGGAGAAATATTGTATGATTTTGTTTCCTTTAAAAGCAGTTGAAAATGTAATCTACTTATGGACCCAAAGTGGGTCTTAGAAAGAAGCTTCCTATCTTCTTTAGGAGCTGCAGCTGGATGTTATCAGTAAAACCACGTCTTTAATCCAGTTCTTTACAGATGTTTGCTATCTTTTTTTATCAAGCCTTTGTTTGGAAGAGGTGTTTTAACAATGGGCTGCAGAGGGATCTCTGTAGATGAATGGGTGACATTTGGTGAATGGCAGCCAGGAGACACAGATGAGCCCATTCAACACAATTCCATGAAGAATAGCATCCTTCATGCAGGCAATATCTCTGGCCCTGTTGCACTATTATCCCAAGCACAAGAAGGGCTTGACAGTAACAGATGAGGGAGAAATGTGAAGAAACTGGGGGAAAAGATAGATGTATCTGGAATCAACACTAAGGAAGGGTGGAGAGATGGACGTGGAATTTGTTTCATAGATGTCATTGCCTAAATGAGCCCAAGGAGCCATCCAGGTCGCCCTAAGGCAGTCTCCCACCTCTGGGATAGGAAAGGGTCTCTGGGCTCTGCAGACTTTGTGTCTGTGTTAAATACAAGGACATCCTGCAGATGTGGTGAGACCTTAATGTAGGCATTCCATTAATTGAAGGAGGAGTGTTGTGTGTGTGTTAAAGCTTTCCTGAGCCTTTGGCCTCAGTCCAACTGCCGACTTTTATTAAAGTAAAAGCTGACTATCTGTGGGACCATTTGTCAGATTTGGTTGAAGCTGATTAAGATGCTCAAAGCTGTTAAGGGAAGGGCTGACTGGCAGGGACAAAGTACCCTGAAGTGGGGCAGCTAAATGGCAGGGACAGGGTCTGCAACCTCCCCTTGCCTCACAGGTCACAACATTAAGAACAGAGCTTTATTCTCCAAGGAAAAATCACTCTTTTGCAGAGGGCTTCTGCCACTGCTTTTGGAGTAACTCCTGGGGCTTGTGCTGGCGTCTTCAGGATCTAAAGGGACCCAGGCTGGATGTGGCTCTGGGCAACCTGGTCTGGTGGTTGGCGACCCTCTACATGGCAGGGGGGTTGAAGCTAGATGATCATTGCGGTCCTTTCAACCCAGGCCATTCTATCATTCTATGGTGATTCTATGTCTGCATAACCTATCTAAGGCAGCAACACACTGGGGCTTCTCCACTGGCGCATCTCCACTCTCTGATGAATGGGGCTTCTCCATCTCCATTCTCTGATGAATGGCAGTTTTTAGAGACAAAATGAAATGGTTTGCTTCTAAACCGCAAAGATGGTGGTGCTTTGTTGGGAAGAACTGAAAAATGCAAGAGAAAGATGGGGAACAGAACGTGTCCAACAGATTCTAAAGACCTTTGAAACATGTTTTTGTTTAGTTTTGTTATCAGGAAGCTGCAGCTCTGTCCAAAGGAAATGGAGGACTAATTTTTTTTCAGTAACCCTGGAATTCACCTTCAGCTAATAAGGAAGAGGCCATAGCTCACAATACATTATAAATACTGCATTACCTCATCTGCTTGAGTTTACATCAGGGACAGCTCTTTTATTGCTCTTTCATAGAGCTGACAAAAGTTGTTGAACATAACTTGGTGAAATATAGATGTGATGCAGTTCAGTACTTACAGGGTGAGGGGTAAGCTACAGGAAATTTTGTCTCCTCACTCTTCCCTCTTGCTTCTGGGGAAGGTTGTCGAGAAGAGAGTGCCCAGTGTTGAGCTGCCAACAGCATGGAGCAGAACACAGGTTTTAATGTTTTTGTCTAAATAGCTTTTTCCAGTCTGTGAGCTGTTTGCAGGTAGCTTCAGTGAGGAGGTGATGCTGTACAGCCAACAAAGCATCCGTGGTTTCAAACAGAAGTAGCTATGGGTTGTGCAGTGCCTGGGACTGGCTGATTTCTACAGATCAAATTTCATTTGAATTTTGCCTAATGTAGTGAAAACTGTAGGGGCAAACCCCCTTCCATTAGATCTTGCTGAGCAGCGGGTTTCGTTCCCACACCACCACTACTCCCTCCTTTCTTTGACTCATGAAACCTTTTCTTTCTTCATCTTCAGAAACGAGTTCAGACCTTGGATAGACGTCAAGCCCGTGAAGGCTATAAAAGCGAAGGCCCAGTACAAGCCTCCAGAGGAGAAAATGACCCACGAAACCAGTTACAGCGCTCAGTTCAAGGGAGAAACCAGTAAGCCTGCTCCAGCTGATAACAAATTCCTGGAGCGCAGGAGGATACGCACTCTCTACAGCGAACCTTACAAAGAACCTCCAAAGGTGAGGAACACAGCAGAAGGGCCCCAGGACCACCCCTGCTCCTGGTAGGACGTGTCCAACACAGTGAGGTTGGGCTGAGCACCGCTTGTGTTCGTTCCTCTTATGTGGCATCTCCATTTCTGTGCAGTGGGTGCATCCTCAGGGCTGGTTTAGAATGGTTTAGATTGGAAGGGATGTTAAAGGTCGGCTAGTTCTGTAGCTGGGGTCTCAGGTAGGTTGATGTACTTGGGAATCAAAAGTATACGAAACTGAGGATAGAGTCCACATGAACTGTGTTTGGCTTTGTTATTTCCCAGGTCATTAATCTAGATGGCTTTTTCTTTTTCCCTCTAAAGCTATTGACACATCACGTTACACTTTGTCCCAGGAACAACCTGGTAAGAGCCAGATCTTCATTTGCAGTTAACACAGAGAGCTCCACAGATCCTGACGTTAAGCCCTTTGTGCTTTGGTTAGATGGAGGATGTGTCAAGGAGGGCTTGGGCTGAAATCTCATCCAGTCTCTGTTTTTTCCAAGTAGCAGAGGATTTGCATGTAAATGGATTCAGTTTTAAGCCTGGGATCATTTTCCTTCCCAGAGTTTGTAACTGCTTGGATTTGTGAGGTCTTGGTGGGATAGCAAGGCCAGCATGGAAGAGCTTAAAACTTCTGTTCCTTCTTCATTTTGAAGTGATCTCCCCTATTTTAGGGGCTTTAGAAATGGATGGATGCAGGACACTGCTGCAGACTTGGCTCAGGTGCCGCTCAGTGTCCTGCACCCCAACTATCCCTGGGTAACTTGGATTTGTACCTGCCTCTTTGTCCTGAGCATTGTTTTTTTGGCTTTCAACCCAGAGAAGCAGCCCCTCTGGGGCTTGACATGCCCTCTTGAAGTCAGAGAACTGCTCCCCTCCCTTCATGGCAGGGCATAGCTGAATAGAAAAACAGCATTCACAATGGCTCTCATCTAAATCCTGTTTTCCACCTGTCCTTGTGTCTCTCTCTCCCTCTCTCTCTCTGTCTCTGTGTTGTTTGGCCTTTCACCCTCCATGCAGGTCGAAAAGCCTAGCGTAAAGCCTTCCAAACCAAAAAAGACCACAACAAGCCATAAACCCTTGAAAAAGGCCAAAGACAAGCAGATTGCATCTGGACGGGCTGCCAAGAAAAAGAGCGCCGAGACCTCCAACACAGCAAAGCCAGAGGACAAGGAGAAAAGTAAAGAGATGAACAATAAACTGGCTGAGGCAAAAGAGTAAATGTCACTGCACTTTCCTTTCTTTCTCTTTTTTCTTTTCCTCCTTCCTTTCCTTTTCTTTTTTCTTTTTTTTCCCTTTGATTAAATAAAGGCCACAAAATTAATTAGAGGCTTCTAATCTGCTTTTTGTTCTGATTGTATTAGAAGCTTTTCTGTTTTATTTCCAAGGAGGATTAGCGAATCCTTGTTTCTGAGGTCAGGTTGTTCTGCTTTGCCTGCACAACACGGCTCTGCACAGAGTGAGGATGAGCGCAGGAGGGATGTGGGAATGCATGAGGATTGTAGGAGATGGAGGTTATGGGTCAGCCACCATTGTGTCCAGCAGCCTGTCCCTGTCCTTGGTCCTTCAGTGCCCATTGTGTCGCCAAGGGGCTGTGCTGTCATCCCATGAAGCCCTTTTTGGGGTTAGGCTTGGTCATCTCCCACTGGTGTCAGCAGGCCTTCGAACATGGAGAGGACCAGTGCTGTGGTTTGCCATCAGTCCATTAGAATTGGTGGTGTGGCCAAGAGCCATTTCTCCTGGTGACACCAGTTGAAGTTTTGCTCCAGCAACGGGGAAGGAAATCCCATTGCAAGTAAAGGGCCAAATCATCCCCTGGCATAGCTGTGATAGATGTTGTTGCATCAGGGCAGCTTCGCTCATCAGAACCACTTGAAGGCCTTGATACAAGATAGGAGTGAGGGAAGGTATTGAGGTCAGTTGGAGACTTCCCAAGTGTGTGGCTGGTCAGACCAGGTTATCTGCAGGCAGTTCTTCCCAATTGTTTCCCTTAGGATGTGCATCTTTTTGATTGTCTCTGGTTTGTTTTGAATCTTGGTCTGTTTTCTTTACTCCTGGAGTGCCAGTAGGCAGAGCTAGATTCCAGAACAAGGTTTCGTTTGCAGATGTGACTTTCCAAGGGGTAGAAGGGAATGACTCTCCTAGGTTGGCTGGAGCCAACAGACTCTGTTACTTTGACTCTGGCTGCTGAAGCTCATGCTGGCTTGTAAGCACCCTGGCAGGACCATAAACCAGTTGCTGGGATCCTCAGAGTGCCTTCAAGCAGGATCTCAGGTTTTCAGTGCTATTTACTGTTCCCAGCAAGACTAGTCTGGAAGCTACAAGCAGAGTGGGGCCATTTGTCAGTGAATATGAAGTAGGCCAGCACTCACATGTTGAGGAGATGGGGCAGATTTCTGCATGCTGGTGGGCCAGACTGGCATAGCACACTCCAGAATTTGGGTCATAGAGCCAGTGGGAGCTGGGTGAGGTGTGGTCCCAATCCAGATTTGCTGTGTAACTCTTGGATCTGGTCTTAAATATGTCAGGATTAACTCTGATCTGATCAAAGTGAGCTGTGAAACTCTCCCGTAGCAACTGCACAGAGAGGGTGCAAGTCAAGATAAAGGGAGCTTCTTTGTTTTTGCAGTTCTATGTTTCCATCCTAACACGCAGAAACTTCCAGAGAGCAGACAATTGGGAAGAACGAAGAGAGATGGGAGGTGGGACAGGGAGGTGATAGAAGAGGAATTTCAGAATTGTGTTGCTGTAGATATGTTGGAGTGAGGAAAGTCTTGCTGCTAGGATATTTTAGAGATGTGAAACTAATAGGAAAAGAAGTGGGCTGAGAGGGTGAAGAGTCTCAGTTTTGGAATCTCGCCCCATTAGAATTGGATCTTCTGGAAACATGTGTGAGTGATGGGCTATGAGGCTGAAAAAAGTTTTGGAAGAGGAGGTGAGCTCTGTGATATACAGATAGTGACATTTGCTGGCCTTAGTAATGAATAAATGCCAAGTTCAGTGTATTGTGTGATGTGTCCTGTTTGCCTTGCGCTAACAGCCTAAAGCTTTGAGTATAAGTAAGTGTAGTGTTCTGAATTCAGTGGTGTATTTCCAAGCTTAGCTGTGTTAGAACTGTGTGCTACGAGCTAGTCAGGTTGTGTATGTGGAAAATATATATTCATATATAGAAATATATATATTTAAGCCTCCGATATTTAGGAGGAAACCAGGGAAATCCTCCAGGAAGTAAAACTGTGGAAATCTTTGCGAATGTAATGCATTTTTGATGTGCATGCTCCATGGAGACGCTGACCTGTCCATAGTGGCCATTGCTTTTCTGAGTGCTCAGAATCCCCCGCAGCACTGCTGGAGTGCAAAGCTCAGCTCTGCCTGCAGAGCAGCTCGGCAAAAGGCTTGCGTTGAGCTTGCAGAGGGGAGTGCTGCCCCCAGCTCTTCCCACCCCAGCACACGAGGGGCAGCTGGCCAGAGGACCTGAGCTTCCAGGACTCTGTGTGATTTCTTGGCGTTTAGATGCTCCAGCCATCTTCACACTCTCCAGTGAAGTCCATTCTTGTCTCAGGATATAGCAACAGCTGTGAAGATGACGTGTCACAGCAGGCAGAAAATGTCAGGAAGGCATGTAGACAGTTATCAATAGCCCGCCACGCCGTACAAAAAGACCATGCAAAACCATTCTTGGAATTATTTTTTGGCCCTAAGTTTCACATTTGAAGAGAGAGTGCAGTTACCACTGTTTTGATTTGCATTCAGCGGTAATTCATCCCTTGATTCAACGGGAACCAAATTTTGCCCAAAGGACTGTCAGTAAGAGCCGTGCTCAGACCATCTGCACCAAGCATATCCACAGTCTGGATCAACTACTCGATATCCAGGTCTTTGGGATTGCTTCTGCACCACGAACAGCATCCATCGTGGTGTTTGCATTAAAAATGCACAGTGAGTGGTCAGAATATGGCCTCACGTTTCCTTAATGATGGTTTGGGTGGCATCCAACTACAAAGCTAGATGTGAAGGGTTAGCCAGCCAAAGCTCCTTCAGTGGAGACACCTTCCAAGAGCCATTGATCTACGTGCTTCGGACACCTCTTTGGGTGGGATGCACGACCCTTGGAAGGTTTCCATTTTTGCAGAATTAAAATGAGAAACTCTCAGGGCCTCCATCTCCGATAGCCACAAAGCAGAGCTATAAATTCTGGCTTTTGCTCCATCTGCACCAGGTCTTCAGCATACATCTGAGCACACAGTTTTAGCTGTACGTTTGATGCCAGGAACAGCAGCAGTCAGGCCTCAGGCTGAAATCCCACACTGCTCAACCTTCCACTGACTTTACACCCCTCCGACCCACTCAGGTTAATCAGAAGAGAGACCAAATCTCTTCACTTTGGACTCTGAGCTTGTCAATCCCACTGGGAAAGTGCTCTGCTGTTCTGTGTTTCCAGCTACCACGATGCTGATTCTGTTCCACCGCTAACTTGTAATATGTTTTGCTTTCCTTGTAAAAAGAAAAAAAAAAACAAAAGCAATGTCATGCTTTCTACCCTGTGAAAGTTCCTATGCTGTTGGTTGCTTGCTTTCTCATTTTCACTGTATTGTACTGTTACTCCTTTCTGCAAAATGGTGCTAATTGCTTACCGAGCTCCTGTCTTCTGACTGCTTTGCACACCGATCACCTGCTTCTTCATTTGCAACGCGTCTGCTGTGAAAACATGGCTCCCATGAATTCCACAAACTCTTGCCTCTTGGAGGCAGATAGGAAGTGTCTAATTAATATTTTGTGGCCTGGGTTTGGTTGCATATCACAGGTTGTCTCTTGTAACGTGTGAAGCACACCTCTTCGTGGTGCTTTTTCATTCTTGCTGTTCGTATGAGAATGACACACACACACACACACACACACACACACACACACAAATTAATGTATAGCCAATTGATTGTGACGTGCTTGTGATCTTTGCTTGCTCAAAGGGTTTTTTTTCCAATGATAAATAAATGCTAAAGACGAATACCACCTCCTTGATCTTGTTTTCTCGATAAGAAGCACAGTTAAGTGAAATACCCTTCCAACCATAATCAGATTTGTGTTGCTAGAGCTGCCACTTCCATGCCTGCCATAGGGACAACTGAGCTGTTGCAGCCTGGCTCCCTGTAGAGGGCTGCTGCCCTCAGCCTAGGCTGCCCCAAGAGCTAAGCGTTTGCAGAGGTGAAGATGGACAGTGAAGTCGTGTGGACGGAGCAGGTAGTTTGCTTTCATTTTCTCTGTACCCATGGCGTGTCGAGCAGAGGGTTTATTTGGTGAGTGCCACGCATGCAGGGTTGTGTCCACATTGCGTTGCATCAGGGAGCAGAAACCACCAAGAGCTGGAGGGAGGGGAGATGCTGTGGCCCCGTGGGTTTTAATGACTTGCCTTTTCCCAACTGCCTGCAGCTTTTGCTTGCGCCCCAGACCACCTGAAGGACCCACAAGAGGTCAAAGGGCTGTGAGTCCTTGCTGAAAGGAGATTGGAAATGCTTGGGTTGAGCCCTTTCAGCATATGGCCAGGCACTTGGCAGCATCTGTGGTAGTGCAGAACGCTGATTGATGTACAAATGGCAATGCTGACTATATGGAGAAAGTGTTGATTAAGAGGAAAACAGGGCTGAGGGCGCAGCTTGGTTTCAAATGGTGAAGTCTGCTCTTAGTTTCATCTGTTTTTTTTTTTAATTTACCCGTAAGCTCCTACCTGCAGTTCTTATTTTTAGCCATATTTTCTCTTTCAGTGGATATTCCAATAACATCCCCGCTCACCTGGGAATAATTGTCTGCTTTGGGGCTGTCTCTTGAAATCTCTCCTCCAGCATTGCACTTCTGTCTTCCGTGAAGCACCAACTCTCTACTGCATTTCTGTTTCTGGGTGCTATTTTCCATCTCTCTCTGGTTTACAAGTCACTTTCTGACTTTATTCTACCCATGTGACTACATGCTGTTTTCTGATGTCGTGCTGTATCAACATGCCTTCCCTCTCCCTTCTCCACCAGCTTCATCTGCTCATCTATCATGCATACCTACATGAGTTCTGGAGTGTTTCAGTTGAGCTGTAGGTCCTGGGATTCATCATTTCACCCCTCCATAGCTGGAACTGGAGAAAACGTTCACTGTTAAAGACTGGTCATTGATGGGGCTTGTCTGTGAATACCAAAACATGTTTCCACCAAGATGCAAAGGTAGAGTGTGGATATGTCATCCACCTGGTCCCTCCCAGCCACCCACAATCAGTGCTATAAGATGTGCCCTCGCTGCCCTGTTGCTCTCTGAACTTGCTCATCATCACAAAGCCTGCACCTGGAGGGCAGGATGCTTTGCTAGGAGACAAGGACTGATAGGGTTGATGATGGGCATGGAGACCTGGGATCCCTGTTCTTCAGTCATCCCTGTCTGCATCAACTGCTGCCATCTAACTTGTTAGTCTTTGCCAGGCCATTAGTGACTGGCACTGCCCACCAGTTTTCAAAGGCTGTTATGAGTGGTATCACTACAAAGTGCTGGAAAGGAGTTACTAAAAATTTGGCCGAGGTCAAAGGATGAGTATGAATCATCTGCTGATGTTGTGTCAGCCCTTATACCAAAACGGCCTCTTGTTTCTCAGTATCCTTTGGATTTCGGGTTTATTTAGAGCTGTGCCACTGCAGGGGCATTTTAGGAAGTTGTCTCTGCCATAGCTGGTAGCCTTTGGCATCCAGGGAATAATCACCAATCCCAACAGCACATCAGCATGAAATGAAGAGGAGAAGTAAAGAAAGGAATTCCCTGGTATGACTGTGAAGACGTGACAACGTTCAGCTCTAAGAACATCTCTAAGACCTCTTGCATTGTTGCAAAATACTGTGATGTGCAGACACCGACTCCAGCTCTCTTGGTAAGTTTGATCCCGTTGGGGTTTTAACAGCCTACTTCCATTTGCTCTTATTCACATGAGCCTTCTGGGTGGGAAGTGATTCCACTAATGTGACTGGGTCTGCTCCCAAGCTCAGCTGCTGGCTGTGAGGGCCTCACAGCTCTGAGCACTTCAGGACTGGACATTTTCTGTGGAACGGGGAGATTGCTTGTGACCAATGTTTTTTTCTGTTGCAGGATACCCTGGAAACAGTTCCCTAATCAGGGCTGTCATGTGGAGGAGATGTGAGCCTAAGGATACAAAGAAAGCCTGTTAATGGATGGAAGGCATCTTCATGCTCACTAAAATGCCAGTTCTCCCTGCAGGATGTCTGCTCCACAGAAACCAGCAGCACGGACCAGCTGCCAAAAAAATGATGGATGAGGAGCAGTGGCAGACTAGGAGTCTGGTCTTGCTCAGGGGCGTGTGAGAGTACAGAGGCATCATAACCATTCCCTCAATGTTGATTATTGAGTGAGAGATGGAAAAGGGGGAACATTTCCAAACTCCTCTTATTGTCATCAGCCCACCTCCTTCCCTCCCACAACCTGAGCCATGCTGCAATCCCCAGCCCCTCTGAAGAACCAGTTCTTCCCATATTTCTTTGGGGGTCAGAGACCTACGTGCCTTTCCTGTCTCTGAGGTCTGGGTCCCAGCCAGGGGTGGGGAGCATCCTCCATAGGCACGGTAGAAAGGAGCTCATCATACAGTGGCAGTCGGGTCTGCCCCAGTTAACCAAGCAGCTCCCAGGAGCACTTGATGGTGCCAGTACCCAGTGGACAAGGTAATCTATCCTGAAAGCAGTCCCTGGTTGTGAGTCTGACCTGCTCTGAGCCTGGTTCAGGATTTACTACCCAACTGAGGACCAATTTGGCTGTGGCCACCTTGTTGTACTCCAAAAGATTTGTCAGCTGTGACACAACCAGCAGGCACCTTTTATGGATCAGTGCTTTGGGGCAGTGGGTGTCCAATCCAATGCTTCTTTGAAGCTCTGGAATGGGCTGCCCAGGGAAATAGTGGAGTCTCCACTCTTGGAGGTGTTTAAAAGATGTGTAGATGTGGTGCCTGGGGTCATGGTTTGGTGGTAGATGGCAGTGCTGGGTTAATGATAGTAACCGATGACCTTAGAGGTCTTTTCCAACCTTAATGATTCTATTCTATTTTCCCTTCATCTTTTCACTGTCTGTCCCACAACAGCTTCCCCAACCCTTTCCCACCAACTCTCTCCCACTTCCAGATCCTATCTCCTCCAGGGCTTCCTAAATACCCAGCTTCACCAGGAACCTTCTCCTTCCATCCTCCCCAAGTTATTGCTGTCTCATGTTTGGTCTCGTCTCTCTTGGTCTGTAAGCCTTTTTCTTTGCTGTACTGTGCAGTAACGTGCTCTGCTTGGAATAAACAATACCTCACCAACCGACTGCCCTTTCTCATTTCTTGGTGTGGCTTCAGTAGCTGTGTCTGCAGTGCATTTTGTCTGTCCTTGTGGCCAGTTCAGCAGTCGGTCTTGCTACCACAGCTCTACCTGTAGTCTTTTGGGATGGCTCTGCTCATTTGTTGTGCTGTGGTACCTTTTTTTTTTTAATTATAATTTACAGCCTCAGTGACAAGTTTTGTTGTCTATTTGGGAGCCCATCGTGTTCAGGGCACCATGACTTCCCGTCCTTCTCAGTTTTGGTGCATCTGATAAGAGTTTGACTTTTCTCCAGTCTGTGCAGAGATGTCCTGGGCTGGCAGGTGACACAACAAATGCAGCAACGTAGGAAAATAAGGGAGAAGTCTTGTTGCTCAGAGCAGAAGAAGCTGATGTTAAGAAATTTTTTTTTTTCTGTAGTTCGGGAGAAGCTGGTGCAAAAGGAAATGTTTCTCAGCACAATACAGAAAACAGTGAGCAGAAGTGGAAAGCTAAGCAGATATCGCTCTTAGGGGAAGAAAGAGAAGCTGGCTGAGCAGCAGGAGATGTTTCAGAGATGGATGCACAGGAGGCTTCTTGAGGACCAGAAGATGCCCTGAACATCAGCTCCTTCCATCCCAGACTAGGGTTGGATCCATGGTCTCTTCAGCCTGTGAGTACAGCAGGAGCACAATTGAAGCCTGGAGGTTTCATCGAGGACAAGTGAGCCCTGCAGCTGGGTTGTGCTTGACTTCCCCAGGCCCTGCGGATTTTGGTGTAGATACAGAACAGGCACAGAAGGAAAAAGGATTGCTCGTGCTAGGCAGTGCCTTCCCTGTCTGCACGCTGCCTCTTTACTTTCATGGTGCCCCCTGTTCCTGCAGGCTTCTACTTTTGACTACAAAAGTGAACCAAGTTCTGGAACAGTCTTCTAGGTTGGATCTGGATCCATGCTGAAATTGTTCATTTGCTTGCTTTAACTTAGAGCTTCATCTCCCACTACCTGGTGCTGTGGCCCTTTCCAAGGAATGTAGCTGAGACCATTATTGAGTACAATGCTATGGCTGTTTCCCAGGACAAAGAAGATTTATTTCTGTCTCTGTTATCACAGAAAGCAAACTTTGTTGAACAAAATGCAATAAAGCATTCAGAAGAAGCAATTTTCCACGTTCTCTGACCTCACTGTCAAGACGTTTGTCAAGGAGCTGATGAATTCTTATCTTCCAGGCACCACGAATGCTGTTCTATTGGACAAAGGCCCTAACTAGAAAGTCAATTATCTGGGAAAGAAGAGACAGATTTCTCTTAGTTCTTTGCAAAAAATATCCCTTTGACATCAGACTTCATAGACATATGTGCCTGGATCTGTGCTGCTGTTTGTAAGCCACCAGTAGACGATCTCTTCTACTTGCTCTTGAAAGCAGCTTCTAATTTTTCATGTCCCTGGAGCTGGCTCTGTTGGACTAGATGATCTTCCTAGTCATTTCTTTAATGATTCTGTGATTCTGTATGGGCTCATTACAGCTACCAAATAGTTGAAATGCTTTGAGTTAAAGTAATTCTGCAGATGTGGATTAACATCATCTCCAGCCCTGTTTTGATATGAGGTTACCAAAATGCAAAGTCTCAAGTCTAGGGAGCAGGTCCTCCACTTGCCACTGATGGCACTCATTGGTGTAAGGGTTTTCAGACTGTTCCCTCACTTGGCTAAGCCAAAGATCAGTTGTAAACGTTGCTGCCCGAGTGCTAGGATTTGTTGTATTTCATTATCAAGCTTCTTTTCAACCCACCAATTTGCATCCTCCCACCGCGCTCTTCCTAACACTGGTATCCAGGGCTGGATTCTCTCCTCCTGGTGAGAGGCTGTGCAGTGCTGTGTTGTCTCTGAGTGCCAATTCCCGGGGAAATTAATGTAATTTCCTCCCCCTGCTGTATTCCTTCCAGTTTGAAACAGGTTCTGAATGAGCTTTGCAATCATACGGTTATGTGCACTCAATGCAAACAAAGAAGGTGGGGGTTGGGGATGGGGCACAGCCTCCTTCTCTTCCAGTTATGTGGCTGAAGGATGCACAAAGCCATTGGAAATAGGCCAAGAGATTACAATGGAGCAGTAACCACCCTGCAGACATGCACAGTGTGCACCAGCTTTCCTGGCTGCCTCTGAGAACGGGGAATTCCTCAGATGACTTGGGCAGGGTTGAACACTAAGCAAAGGCAAGAGTTGGGATTAATCTGGCACTGACCTGCTGCAGCCTGGAGCATCACATGAGCACGGGCACAGGAAGACCTGCGCTCTGGCCTCACTGGGCCATCATCATTGATGGTCTACATCATCACTGACCATCACTGACTAGACGTGGATACCTGCTTTGTTCCTAGGAACCTGGAACAGCTGCTGACAGCCTTGGATCTGCCCATACCCTTGGACATGTTGACTGCTGGAGAGGATACGCAGGCTTTGGACAGCTTTCCAAAGAGCTACCCTGCATTTTTCCCTAATCCTTTCCTTTAGGGTGCTGGGCTCACCTAATTCCCAGTTATGGGAACCTGTAGGCTGGAAGGACTTGTCAACAACATTCCTACACAAGCTGCCTCCAAATAGTGCCCACTGGTCACACTGGGAAAAGGCATTGCTGGCCTCTGCCAACAGCATCTGGCAACAGAAGTCTCTGCAGTGTAAGCACGAGGGGCAGGATGAGGGTGAGTATTGGAGTGAGAGCTGCCCTGCAGGAGCTCTCCACACTGTGCAGCCCCACGAGCTCACACAGGCACGTTGGTCTCACATCTGGGTTGCTGGTCTTGTTGGCCAAGGAGGTGATCATTGTTCTCTTGGCCCTGGTGTCATCCTGTCCTTCCTCCCTTTAAGCTCAGGACTGGGGTTGCTCCCTATGCAAACCCAAGGTGAGGATAGGGAACTCAGGTTAACTCCATAATCCCTTAACGTAACCACCATGCCAAGCAACCATCTTACAGCTGAACATGTTTCTTCTGCTTCTCCATTTGCTTTCTGCAGCCTCACAGATCCCTTCCCATCCATCCCATCTCTCCTCAGCCCTGAAGATCCTCTTTTCTAACAAACACAGATTTCCCTGTTTCCCAGTCTTTTCCTTCTCTGTCCCTCCCTCTGCACTACCTCCACTCTCTCTCCAATAAGACCCATCCTTCCCTTCAGCACCCATCTAAAACTTCTGACAGCATCTGCCCCAACTCCAGAGCCGTCTTTTCTCTTCCTCCACCTCATGTTTACTTGCTGTAGTTTACCCATAGCATATGTAGCATAACTGAAACTTGGTGCTTACACTGAGGCATCCCTCCTATTTTACCCCAAGGACACAGCTAATTCCAACAGAGATCCTACACCTTGGTGTCACCACCACCTCCTGGTGTCTTCTGGGGGCACTGAGGAGGAGGGATGCTCTCAGGTGGGGTTTAGGACACATTATTTCTGCTTTCTTTTTTATCTGCTGTTTTAACAGGCACTGGGTACTTCCTGAGCAGCACAAGAGCCTTGCTCCCCTGCTCTGTAGTGCTTTCACCACCCACCTAGAATGAAACAAACTGCTTCTTTGTGAGACAATTTTACAGCGAGGTGCTCTTTTGATGCAGGTTATAATCAATTGGCAAGCATTTTTCATAGCTGACGAGTGAGCCTGATCCTGGTTCTACGTGAATTAGAAGCTCCAGCCCTCTCAGTGTAACGGGAACCTGTGGGTTTTGGAGCATCTCCTTACAGGGACCAGGACCAGGCTCACCAACCATCTTGAGAACATACCAAACATGCAGGGCTGCATGGGGAGTGATCTGTAGAGTCAATAGTCATGGGTTAAATTCCATCTCGGGGACGGCATTTTGCTGTGGGACATGAGCCAGCTGCTCTTACAGCTGCTCTTACAGCTTTGCAATGATGATCTTTCTCTGCTTACAGGACCCCTGAAAAAATCACTGGTGCTACAGACCAAGAACCAAGTACCTTAGTGCAGGAGCAGTGCACATGAAGTCGAGCACTTCCTTCTGAGTGGCGGTTGGAGCAAACGTATAGTCTGCATGAAATGTGTATCGTCTGGTTGGCATACAATAAACCTGATGAGCAGAGTTGAATGATAATTTCTCTTGTCTGTCAAATACTGAGAAATTACCAGGATCTGTATAATGCAGTTAGCATGACTGTGCCTTGATTTATATTCAGTAAAGTCAGAAAAAGAAAATGGGTCCGATGCTCCCTTTATTCATAGCTGTGGAATAGCACTGGTTTCATTGTTCTCTCTAGTTAACACGGACAGCAGGGAACTCAGATTCGTGTCCATAACTCATGGGAGAATCGTTCAGAATTTCAGACGTTATCCTGGAAGTGTAGCTGGTAGGATCAGCAGGTCTTGTCAAAATCCTTGAAAGGCTGAAAGCTCTGTAGGGACATGGTTTAGGGGGCATGGTGGTGATGGGTTAATTAATGGTTGGGCTTGATGATCTTAACGGTCTTTTCCAACTGGAATGTTCTATGACTCTATGATATCTCCATCTTCTTTTCTGGGTGAGGCTATGTCCGTATGATGTATGCAGCACATAATGAGAGATGTAGCCTGTCCCTTATAGGTGGCCAACAGCATGAAACATCCAGACTTAAACAAACACTTCTAGGTTTAGACTGGGGTGTTGTGACGCTTGGAGCAGGGATTTAACTTTCCACAAGCCCTAACTTTTAGCAGAAGGCTGCTTTTCCCTCTTGAATTTACTCAAGGCTGTACCTCAAGGCATCAGAGGTTGGGAGAGATGGGCATCATCCATGGAACATGGCAGCACCCAGGTTTGCTGGGTCCTGTTTAGAAGGAAACTGCATTGGGCTTGGAGAAGTCATTCAAGCAGTTCAAAGTGTAATCACAAGTCCCTGGGCCTGATACCCCTCCTCTTCCCATACATGTGCTCCTTGTATTCAAACTCCTCTGTTGTGAAGAGTAAATCAAGAGTAATTCCAGCCATGTGTGGACCAACTTTAAAAAGAGTTCCAACTTGTAGTAGATCCAGTCTCCTTCACCTGCAGAGACCCTTGTCTACTCTTGCTGTTTGTTGTTCATACTGTACTGCTCTGTGATGTCCAAAATCCCAAAGGTGCCAAAATGGTGGGATCTACCCAAAGGACCCGGGAGGCAAAGTAGTAACCTAAACACACCTCAAGCTCCAGAGATCTGTAGCGTGAGTTCTTGGCAACAGCAAGGTTGGAAAGATTCCTCTTTTCTTGTTAAAGGGAATAAAACACAGAGGAATATTTCTTGTGACATGATTTGTACAAGCCAAGAGGAAATCAGAGCAAATCCAATCACTGAACCATTGCAAAGCACCTCTGAGAAGATGTGAATAGTAACTAATGAAATATTCAGCACAAAGGAAAGTAGATTACATGCCTGTGAATAATAGCGCTGAGTATGCGCCTCACTTACTAGCTGAAGGGTCCTTGTTACACATGATTAAGTTATTAAATTTTTTTGTGTGTCTAATTACCATGATCACACAATTATTAGAGAGGAGCTCCATCCAAAATATCAGCGCCAGACGTCGGAGGCCTGCAGGCAGTTTTGCTCCGGATGCCCAGAGCTGCAGGTATCCCGGGGCAGTGGGACCGTGGCCATGTGGGCTGTTGCTTCCTGATGCC